GTTGCTGCTGTTGCTGTCTGTGTCTGTTTGTTTTTATTTCTTTGTTTTTTTCTCTTTCACTTCGTTCTCTCTCTTTCTGTCTGTCTTTCTGTATCTCTATCACTCTCTCTCTCTTCTCTGTCTCAGTCTCTTCTCTCTCTCTCTCTTCTCTGTCTCTCCGTCACTCTCTCTTCTGTCCTGTCTCTCTCTCTCTCTCTGTCTGTTTCTCTCTCTCCTTCTCTCTCTGTCTCTCTCTGTCTCTATCTCTCTCTTTCTGTCTCTCTCTCCTCTCCTCTCTGGTCTCTCCATCTCTTCCTCCCTCCCTCCCTCTCTCTGTCTCTCTGTTCTCTGTCTCTCCATCTCTTTCTCTCTGTCTCTATGTCATCTCTTTCTCTCTGTCTCTCCATCTCTTTCTCTGTCTCCCAATCTTTTTCTCTGTCTCTTCTCTTTCTCTCTGTCTCTCTCTCTTTCTCTCTGTCTCTCCTTCTCTCTCTGGATCAAGACGGGACGACGAGGCTTGCATGCGCCAAGTTCGGACCGGCGAGTCGTGTTGCTATGGGCCGGTGTGGGTCGACTCTGCGCCCTCAGATCCGCCGGAGACTTTGACCCATTGCACGACCCACTTTCCGGTTCCTGCGACGAATGTAGAAACAGGTCAGAAAGAGAAAAAAGGGTCAAAGAAAAGAGAAAAAGTCAAAAGAAAAGAGAAAAGGTCAAAAGAAAGAGAAACAGGGTCAAAAGAAAGAGAAAAAAGGTCAAAGGAAAGAGAAAAAAGGTCAAAAGAAAGAAAAAAGGTCAAAAAGAAAGAGAAAAAAGGTCAAAAAAGAAAGAGAAACAAGGTCAAAAGAAAGAGAAAAAGGTCAAAAGAGAGAAAGAGAAAAAAATGAAAAAAGGGTAAAAAAAAGAAAGAGAAAAAGAAAATGTTGAAAGTGTATGAAGGAGAATGTGTATTTATATTTATGTATTTATGGGATTTCGATTATGTTTTCGTAGGAAATATATCGAACTGGTCAAATGTATTGTGGAAATGCGTGTATTCCCGACGAAGATATAATTGAAATCAATTGAATACATTCTCTTGCAATGTACATGTACTTATTTTCATTCCTGCTTTTTCATAACGTAGAAGCCAGATTCACACACACACACACGTATATGTGTGTGTGTGTGTGTGTGTGTGTGTGTGTGTGTGTGTGTGTGTGTGTGTGTGTGTGTGGTGTGTGTGTGTGTGTGTGTGTGTGTGTGTGTGTGTGTGCATGTATGTATGTATCATATATATATATATATATATATATATATATATATATATATATATATATATACACATACACACACACACACACACACTTGCGCGCATAGTATTTGTATGTGCGCGGTTGTGTGTGTGTGTGTCAATAGCATGATATTCCTTTGCAATCCCTCGGATGTTCGTTACGTCTATTACTCGCTTCCTGGACCGACAGACATACGGGTCCCGTCAGACCACGAATAATGGCCGGTGTTCGTCCCACTCCCTTCGCTGTATTGAGGCTCTCGGTTTTTGGCCTTTTTCCCGCCCTTATCCGGTTATTTTCACAGGGCGCGCGCGTGTGACGAGAGAGTTCTTTATCTTTTATCCTCTTTCTTATCCGTTTATTTTCACAGAGTTCTTTATCTTATCTTTTTTTTCTTATTCCGGTTATTTTCACAGAGTTCTTAATTTTTATCTTTTTCTTATCCGGTTATTTTCACAGAGTTCTTTATCTTTATCTTTTTTCTTATCCGGTTATTTTCACAGAGTTTCTTTATCTTTATCTTTTTTTCTTATCCGGTTATTTTCAACAGAGTTCTTTTCTTTATCTTTTTTATCTTATCGGTTATTTTCACAGAGTTCTTTATCTTTTCTTTTTCTTATCCGGTTATTTTTCACAGAGTTTCTTTTCTTTTTCTTTTTGGGGTAATGGGCGAGGGGGCTTAGGGCCTCGTTAGCTGGGTTCGTTGGAGGCTGAGGGACGGAAAACGGGTGTAGTTTGCCTTCGCTACTCGGGGTGTAGGGGAAAAAAAAACATGTGATTCGTATGAGTAAAACTACATGCTATTTGGTACATCAGAAAAGTAGCATTGCGCTTCTAGTGACGGATGGGCATTAAAGAAAAGAAAAAAGAAAGAAAGAAAGAAGAGAAGAAGAAGAAGAAGAAGAAGAAGAAGAAGAAAGAAGAAGAAGAAGAAGAAGAAGAAAGAAAAAAAAAATTATATATATATATATATATATATATATATATATTATATATATATATATATACCCTCTTCGCCAGTCGACTCAAGGCGCCCTCGACCATTACGAAGAGGCTTTGCTAAATATATTCACGAGCCAAAAATGACAAATTCGAAAAAAAACTGAATCGTGGAATAAATATGTATTGCATCCCATACTGACATTGGCCGCCTTGTGTGTGTGTGTACACGCACACACACATATGTATGTATATGTATATATATATATATATATATATATATATATATATATATGTGTGTGTGTGTT